TGCAGTGAAGTTTTATGACATACCTCAAGGGGAAAGGATTTTCTAGCCAAGGAAGAAATCAAACACAAAGAAAACAAGTAACATATTTGACTACTAAAAAGTTTGATTTTTGTATGTGTCAAAAAAAGTAAGGGCAAACATCAAACTTTGAAAAGATACCTTGCAACAGATCAAGGATTAGTGTGTGTGTGTATAATATATACACACACACTGTTATATATATAATCCTATTATATATAATATATTATATATACAATAGGATATTATATATTATATATAATAGGATTAATATATTTTATATATATACTAATACAGTGTGTTAAAAAAAAAGTATGATTCAATTGGTTAAATGAAAAAAATACACAAAATGCCAAATCATGTCAGGAAATACAACAGCTTAACAACCATATAAAATGACAGTCACTAATCAAAGGAATATAAAATGAGAAAAATAAAGAGATAGCGTGTAAATATAAAATAAAGAATGACACACCAAATGTCAAAGGAAAATTTTCTTAACTATAATACCCATTTCTAGTGAGGGTGTAGTGAAACGGACACTCATGCATTACAGGTGAGCATGTAGATTGGAATAACCATTTAGGGAAAATATCTCATGATCATGTATATATCAAGAATCTTAAGCTGTTTATGTTTTCTGACCTAGAAATTCCACTTCAGAAATTCATTATAAGGAAATAATCATAAATACAAGGAAACTTTAATGTACTGAAATATACATCCTGATGGAATTTATAATAACAAAAATATGGAATGAGTCAAATGTCTAGAAGTAGGTGACTGGCTAAGCAAAATATGGTATACTTACCAGCTAGCTGGACTACCATGCAGCCATTAAAAATAACACCTTAAAGTTGTCTCTAAGAACATTATATATGAGTGTATTTTTTTATGTTAAGTGGGAAATGGGAAGTGTATACAATTGTAAGAATACAATCATACTTTTTTAACACACGTAAATTTGTGTATACACACACACACACACACAAACTAATCCTTGATCTGTTGCAAGGTATCTTTTCTAAGTTTGGTGTTTTCCCTTACTTTTTTTGACACATACAAAAATCAAACTCTTTAGTAGTCAAATATGTCACTCGTAAGAATACAATTGTAAGAGCACACGTGCTCAAAAAGCAATTCATCTTATTAAAATATAGAAGAAAATTCACCTAATTTTTAGCAATAACAGGGTCTCGTTCTGTCACCCAGGCTGAACTCCAGTGAGGCGATCTCGTCTCACTGCAACCTCTACCTCCAGGGTTCAAGCAATTCTCCTGCCTCAGCCTCAGCCTCCCGAGTAGCTGGGATTACAGGTGTGCGCCACCAGTCTGGCTAATTTTTGTGTTTTTAGTAGAGAGGGGGTTTCAACATGTTGGTCAGGCTGGTCTTGAACTCCCAGCCTCAAGTGATCCTCCCGCCTTGGCCTCCCAAAGTTCTGGGATTACAGACGTTAGCCACCATGCCTGGCCTAGATAGGTTTGATTTTAAAAAACACCTTTTTGATCACAGTCTAGGCACTGTGATATGAAAAAAAGTGTTAATTCATTAATACAATGATTATCTGAAATTTACAGCTAGTCTTTAGTTAGTTTCACACGTATGTTCAACATTTTATCTCACTTGACTTCTTTCCCAAAATTATCTGGAAAGTAAGGCAAAAATAAGTAAATCATATCCTTATATTGAATCAACATTCTTGTATTGGTTTACACATGATGTTTCAGTAGATGTAAAAATTTGAAGAAAAAAAAAACAAGATTAAACTAAACTTATCTCAGAAAAAAAATAAAAAATAAAACTATAGATGCTTCTCTAATTTCTATTGTCTATATGTTTCAATTTTTCTATAATGAATAGGTATAAGGAACTATTTTTAATAGACTTATACAAAAATCTATATTTATTTAGAGAAAGTAATTGAAAGAAAAACTTATCACTTAAAATGAAGGTGAGCAATCCTACAAATGGAAAACTCCTTTAGTGCTTTATGAAGGAGTTCAATTTTCTAAACCAGAGCAGAAGAAAAGGCCATATCTGAAAGCCATGATTAGGAGCTTCAGAACTGGGGAAAAGGGCAAGCATCGTTTGAAAGTACAGTTTAAAGTACAGTTTGAAAGGCATATGAAATGTATTATCTCTACAATAAAAATATAAAAACTATAGCTCAATTAAATCTTCTTGGTTAATAGGAGTAAACAAAAGATAGAATGAGAAACCATTCTGAGTAAACCCTACATTCAATGCATGTTTGTCAGCTATACCTTGTTGTCCATGTGTACATGACACCATTTATATTGTTATTTCGACTACATATCATAAGCATAAGTGTTTTGGTTTAAAATGAGTACATGGTTTATTTCTAAATAAAATTTGATTTTATAATTACAGTGTAGCACCAAAAAGAGGGAATGGATTTTTTACGTTTGTCAAAAGGGACACTCAACTCAAAAACGTTGAGAAACTGATAAAAGGCAATGTATCCTTATATCTTCCCTCTGCAGTACATTCTGGCTATCACCCTAACAGTCTCATAAGACTTTGAGTCCCCAGTGTACCATTTGAAAGACACCGTAAGGGAACTCCCAATTTGTCTAGTATTTTCCGCTACTTCACAAGGCAGTTTTCATGGAGAACTAAGAGTCATAAAAAAAGCATTTATGCAAGATTCACTTTGGGCAAAAACTTAAATGCTTGAGAATTTCTCACCTGCCTAAGTTAATTCCTCATGTGGTTCTGGCCTACATAGGAAAAAGGCTAAAGTTGTCCTTCTCTCTTGTATATGGTACTTAAGGCAATCTTTTGCAGAAGGTAGGATACACATTACTATTCCTGTTTTATAAATATGGAAACTGAGGCCCAGAGAATTTGAGTGACTTTCCCAGGGTCCACACCCTAACCTCTCGATGTTCATTCCTTTTCTTGCAGTTAAGAATAGAATTTGCCTTAACAGTTTGTTAATTCAAAAATATCTGCTGAGTGCCTATTATGTGTTCCTGTGTTCCTGGTGATGGAGACAATGTCTCCGCCCTCATGGAGATTATATTTTTGCAGGACAGCCCAGCAATAAGTAGGTAAACAGGCAAATTATCAAATAGTTTAAAGCTCTTTGAAGAAAAATAAAGAGATGGAGTGAGTGTATCAGGGACAGAGAGAGGGCACTTGTTCTAGATAGGTGGCCAAGCAAGTCCTCTCTGAGGGAGGAGGCAGTTGAACAAACATGTGAACTGAAGGTATTTTTGGCAGAAGGAACAATAAGCACAGAAATCCTAAGTGGGGGCATTTTTGAGGAGCTTGAGAAACGGCCAGGAGCCTGGTGAGACTGAAGTCTTAGGTGTATCTTGCCTCTCACTATACCCTGTTGTCCCTCCCCTGCCCAGACTTGTTTTGTACGTTCTTTTTCACCTTTGGGTTAAGGAGCACATTATCTCCTTTGTCAGTTTCCCTAAAGCAGCGCCTTTCACCCACCCACTCACTCCACCTTCTTTCAATGAGGAAAGAGCCTAAGAATCCTAGCTGATTTTCATTGCCCTTCCCTAGGTTCCACAGGGGAACATAATTATATAAGCAAAACATAAAGATTCAAGCCCAAGACATTCAATAGCTTCCACGTATTTCCCTGGAAGCCTTTATGAAAAATGTATTTAGCATAACCTGAGAGCTGCCACAAACAAGGCTTGACCATTTTTGAAAACCAATATACAGTGAAAATCCTCTAGCACCAGCATCAGGATAATCTTTCTTCACTGATCCATAAGGTATTTCAAACTCTTGTGGGGTATCATCAGATGCTGAACTTACTACCAAGCATTTAACCTCATTTGGTTTCTGTCTAGAATCTACTATGCAGGGCTGCTGTTTTCATGGATTTTTTTTTATCCTGCTGACAATAATGCTTGAGCTAGGTCCTTCCTTAGAAATGCCCCCATGATTCCTAAAAGAAATCAACTGAAAAGAGAAGATAAAATAACAATATATTTTTGGTATAATGATAATACCAATAGCTTACATTTATTGAACATTTACTAGGTGTCAGGCCCCAGTGCTAATTTTTTTACTGCATTATAGCACTTAATCTTACAATCCTATGAGGTAGGCAGTAATATGATACCTATTCAATGGATAAGAAAACTGGGGGACTGAGAGGTTAATTTGCCCAGGTCACAAGCCTAACATCTGACTAGCACAGGACAAAGTCTCAGATCTGCCTGACTCCAGAGCCCTGGAGCAAAGACGCAGATGAATTTGATTCAAAATGAAGCCTTAGACTGAGACATGTCTAGGCAAATGGCAAAGCTGAATCATAACAAGGGTGTTTTCCCTCCATTCCCTTTAAGACTATTGTGAGTCCTAACGTTTATCAAGAAGGGTCCTATTTCTGAAATCCCCTGCCCCTCCCCACCCCCCACTACTTTTCTAAAGGATGCTACATCAGCAGATCCAGAGAGGTGATTTTACTCATACACATCCCCCTCCTCTCTCAGCATCTCGACTTTACTGGCATTGCATTCTTAAAGTAATTGACTCTGTTTCTTAATGTGTCTCCTCTCCCTGAATGTCATGCCCTTCCTTTGGGATGACACTTCAAAAGTCGTTTAAAGAGAGCTAGAGTAAGGCTCCCAGGGCACCACCCGATAGGGGTCAAAATAGAAGTGGGGAGCCTGGGTCTTTCCTGGAGCGAAGGTAAACTCTAGACCACATTTCAGCACCCGAAAGGGCATTCTCTGCGGCTGCCCCAAAAGGCTCTGGTGAGGGCCTTCTGGAGAGCAGGAGGCCCAGGGGATGAAATCCCCAGCGAGGGACTCAGGCGAAAGTGTGTTCCACCACGGCTCTGGGCTGGACTTGAGGGCAGACCATGGAGGAGGCGTCGGCGAGCTGCTAATGCCGGCGCCCCTGCCTGCCTCGGCCTCCACCCTGGCCCCAGGTGCCGCTGCCCACCGCCCACACCCTCAGCAGGCCCATGCCCACTGTATCATACTCACAGCACACACAGGCAGTACACTCCTGGCACGCTCTCGCTGTCCCTCAGCAAATAGCTGCCATCCAGCCCAGTGGCAAGCAGGAGCTTCTCGCCTGTTTCCCTGCTGATTTTGCCATGATACACAGCCACTGCGTCCATGGCCTGGTGGACTCTTGGGCAGGCCGAGGAGGAGAACTGTACAAGGGAGATGCCACTGCTACTGCAGCCAGGCACAAGTCAACCACCTGACTCCCAGTTCAGCCAGATGTGCAAAAAAGAGAGAAGCACCCAAACAACAGGATGTTGTCTACTTGCCTTAAACCTCCTTCTCACACTTCAACTAAAACGAGCTCAGCAATTTAGTAGCTTAGTTCAATCGAGCTTGCCAAGGGCTTCCATCTCCTGCCCCCCAACACAGGGTTCATACAGAGCGGGGAGGAACATTGGAAGAAGGATTTTGCAAGATTGGGGCTGTACTACCAACACACACCCTTGCACTCAGACAGGGATGCTTAGTAATGCTTCTGTTCTTGCAGTTTACTCAGAGGCCACCAGGAATAACTTAGCTCAACTAGCTGGTAAGGAGTTGATGATAGAGGCAAGTTGTACATGTCTCTGTCGGTATGTGGACCCATCATGTAGGGCAAAAACATACTAACAAAATGAAAGGACCAAAAGCTCTGAGAACAAAACACTGATGGTTTTATCAGTACTGTCAGTATGCAATCATTACTGAACATGGCCATGAAGACTCCTACAGAATCGGACATAGTAGATGAACAGTGAACTTTGGGCAAGTTCTTCTTCTCCCTCTTCCTTCTACCTCACGCAGTCATCTTGAAAGTCTTGGTCCTGAGTAAATATTGATTTCTTTCCTAACACCTTGTCCAAGGTCCCAAAGTGCTAGTTGAGATACAAAAGTCACAATGTACATCCAAAGATTTTCCAGATTTATCTATTTGATGGGCTTTACATGAGACTGTGAATCATGTAACTGGTGCTTTGCCTTTATATGCATTTGTATGTGCCCTCTGGTGTACAGGGCCCACCTTTCAGCATTTTGGCCATAAAATCTGTTTTGAATCATTTGCAAGTTGTTGATAATATTATTGTAACTTTTATTCTCTGTTGTTTCTAGAAAATGTTATTTCTTCAATTGATGCTAAACTGTCTTTAATATTTTAAAACCTTTCAATCTGCATTTTCTTCTCTGAAATAAAGCATTGCTTCTATTTCAAAATGTGCTAGGTAATATTTCCCCAAAACTTCCTGCATTTTCACTAGAGTAAGACTTTATTTATTGCTGAAGCTGAATGGTCTTATACATGTACCTTTAGATTATGTAAAGTACTTTTAAAATTGGAATTTAAATAACTGAAGCTATGTCGTCTATTATATGCTTTCTGCAACTTCAGTGTGTAGTTCTTGGAGAATATGGCAAGCCTGGAAGCTCAATAGGGAGAACGACACTTAATTCCTCACGTGGCTTACTAATGGATTGGATGTACAGAGCTGACTTGCACCAAAGGCAGATATTTGCTCTTCATCTACTAGGGTTAAGAACAATCCTCCAAGATTTCAGTGGTAGCTGGTAACAATTTTTCTTCTTGATTGGAGAGTGTCCAGCCTTAGTATGCAAAGTATAAACATAAGTCTCCTACTAGTCATTTTCAGCATTAAGAATTTTTTTTAAAAGCATCCAAGGTGACATTTGGGGATGGCTCTGGGGAATTGGACCAATATTATCTTATCATCTTCCTTCCTCACATGTTTTTGACCAACTCCACCTCTTACCCCTTTTCGTGCTTTGTATCAAGGAAGAAATTAATCTGATATATGAATGCATACTCCAACATTAAGGATTTGAAAGGTTGTCCACCTTGGACTCTCCATATATTGAGCAGGCAAATGGTTAGCCCAGAGGAATTAATCAAAATAGTGGAATTTCAAATAGAAGGGAGGAGACAGAGAAGTGGATCCCTTTGTATTGGTCCATATGAGCAACAGCCGACCTGTGAGGTGAACTGTGAGAACATTTGGTGTCACATAAGTGAAAACAAAACCTAACCTTTTCTTTTTGTCTCTTAACAATTCTGAACAAATCATCCATAAACTTAGGAACAGAGCAACCTGGATCTGACAGCACAAGCATACCGTGCATTCTTCTTTTCTTTCTGTTTTGTTCCGTGTTGCTAAAATGTACACCTGTCAAAGCACCCAGGTACGACAGGGTTCAGTACAACTAAAATTGCATTTAAAAACAGATAAATTATAAGGTAATAGTACAACTTTCACATCCAGTACCTCATTGTCATCTTACAAGCAAGCTGACGGCTGAGTCAGCCCACTAGTGCCGTGTTGATGAAAAATACTGACATCTTCACTATAATCCTACACCAGTACTAAACCTGACTTTAGCAAACTCAAAACTTCACACTGAGCTTGAAGTGTAGAGAAAAGAAGAATTGAAATGACTCTCTTCCTTCTCTCTCCCCATACACACGAGAGGAAATGGGAGAAAATGAAAGAGGGGAGCAATGAAGATAGTAGAGGCAGCAACAGAGAAAGAGTTAGGAAGAATGGACCCCAAATACAAGTATAAACCACTTAGGAGCAGAATTATTTAATTAATTATTTGTTGTCTGTCTCCCCTACTAGAATGTAAGGTCCATGATGGAGGGATTTTGTGTACTTTGCTCACCACTGTATCCTGTGTCTGGCAAGTAGTAGATGCTACATATATTTGTTGTGTGAATGAAAGAATGAAATTAATGCTCTCAATAAAAGAAAAAATACTGAAATTCTCTTTTACACACACACACACACACATGCACACACACACAATATTGGTTCTACATGCCTATGGTCATCTTTGAAATGACAAGATGAATTGGAAGGAGCAGTAGTCCAGTAATTAGGAGAGTTTAAATATACGCCATGTTTTGCCACTAAATCACTTCTTCTGAGTCTCATTTTCTCCATCTGTCAAATGGAATTTAACCAGATGAACCCTAAGGTCACTTCTAGGTTTAACATTCTATTCTCTAAACAAAAGCCATATGTGCTTTAGAGAGAAACAGAGGGGAAATGAATTGAACTTATTTGTGTACAAGAATAAAGACCTATTTCCTCAATCTCCCTCAATAAAGGAAATATTTTCATTCTTGGCATTTTACAGTAACCTAAGGGGAAAAATCATAGAATGGAGGAAGAAAGCTTCACAGTTACAACCTTTTAGAATATAGATGCCATTTAAATCAAATATAAAAGCATTGAATTTTTAGAAAAACTGCCAGCCAAGGTTGAAAGTATCTTCTTATTCAAACTTGTCAACTCCTGAGGTCTCTGAGAAGTGACAGGATTTTGCATGTGGGAGCCCTGTCTGAGGTGCTAATTGTCTTCATTTCAAATGCCCTCGGCTATTCTCAAACCCAGGTAGATTAAAGGAATGATGCCAAGGGTGGTCAGTTTTATAGAGTGACTCTGACATTTCAAAATCTTTTTCTCTGACCTTTCAAAACTAACTTTGTTCTTCCACTAGCTCATCTATAGGTGTGAATTCTCCTGTGACAGTGTTATGATAGTGTTACCTGTGGTGAGTTTACACATTCTCTCAGCACTTACTAAAATTCACTTCCTTTACAAAAATGATTAAAGAAAAGAATTGGGGTGTTTTTTTTTTGTTAAAGAGCACCTCCTTTTGATAATCTCTGGGTTTACCTATGAGGCCAATCTTTCTAAATGCCCTTTTTAAGTGAGAAGCCAGAGACAGGGTTGTTGTGTGTGTTTATTTAAGCCTGTCTTTAAACATTTTTATTATTTCAACCAACACTTACGAGCATCTACCATATGCCAGACATTATAGTAGGTACTTAGGTTACAGAAAAGTACAGTATCTGCCCCTAAGTAGCTCATAGTCCAGTGAAGCAGACAGACAAGCAAAGAGACACTTATAATTCACTTAACAAGAGCTAAGAGGAAAGGATGGGGCTCTAGGGACATAGTAGTGGCATATCTAACTCAACTTATATTCTAACCTGCACAATCTATTCGAGATGGCAAGTGTTTTTATCTTTCTGTCTGCTATGTACAGGTTTTTTTTTTTTTAATTGCACTAATTTTGCCTCCTTCACGACTCAAAGGAAGTTCCCTCATTCTAGCTGAAACTCTGCCTGCTTCTGAGGTTTCATTCTTGGAATAATAGCAACAGCTAATATTTGTTAACTGCATACTACATTCCAGGCATCCTTCTAAGCACTTTGAATGTATTATCTCATTTATTTATATCAACAACCCTGTGAAGCAAATACTATTATTAGTCTCATTTTACCGACAAAGAAACTGAAACCCAGAGAACCTAGATAGCTTATTCAAGGTGGTACAACTGGTCAATGTCAGACCCAGGATATGAACACAGGCCACTGACTGCAGAGCCTGTGCACTTCACCACTGTCCTCTTCTGCCTCCCAACATTAATTCAGGGGTCACTGCACTGGATTGCTCAAGCTTCAGTCTCCTATCTAGCAACTGTAATCTGGATTTCTAGAATATTCTTCTTACATTTCAAGTGTCAACTGGTCCCATGCCCTGACCCATAGAGTATCTATATATAACTATATGTCTTATCAAATCGGATATACTATTTTAGCCTCGTTCTCTTTATTTACTGTCTTGGAAGGATCTTCAGTTCAGAGTCAAGGTTTGTTTCCTGGGTTTATGGGTCTGGAATCAGGATCATAAGCTCATCCATCCAAAGTAACAGAACACTGAGTAGTCTGGGGTTGGTTGGTTTGTTCTGTTTTGTTTTTAAAGTGATAAAGATATTTTCTCTCCTGGGAAGACCTGGATATACAGATAAGGTCTTATCACCCCATTCTCCTTTTTGAACATTTTCTAGACCAAATGAAGGCCACTCCTCACTAGTTTTTATCTTTTTCCATGAAGATAAATGTGATGGTATATGCAGAGTGCCTGGAGCCTAACAAATACACAATATTATTTTCTCCTACTAGCCTGTGAACTCCCGGAAGACAGAGATGATGTCATATTCCTCTTAGCACACCCAGAACCTAAAAGAGTACCTGGCACCTAGTTAGCTGCCTTCCTTTCCCCCTCTTCTTTCCCTTTATAGAGAGAAGCCTCTGCAGAGAGTGTGGCTTCTAATTTGCCTCAAGAAGTGTATCATTTCTGACATTGACTTCTTTCAGATTCATCACTTACCAACGTCTACCCTGTGGTCTGCCTCATTTTGGTTTATAGATACAACTCTTCACATCCCACACCTTGGCACCTGACACACAAATAAATCATCATGTACTTATTTGGCCTCATCAACCAGTTGCCTTTGGGTCGTGACAGAATCTTCTTTCCGCCTCTCTTTACCCTGGGTGGGGGCCCTCAGGGTATGCTATCGGCACAAGAAAATATTACGTCTTTGTAAATGAGTCTGCAGCTTTTCATCTAAAAAATCTGTTCTCTTTCTTGAAAGCTCAAGAATAAAATTCCACCACTGGAGCTTTA